TTTCCCTACGAGACAATGACCAGTTAATTTGTATTAGTACTTTGCAAATCTCTCAGCTTTCCCAGCACAGTAGAAAGCACAAGTTCATTTCAACACAGAGTGCATTCCAGAACAGCTCTTACACCCCAGGGCAGCTCCCTGCCCACCTGTGTACTCACACCTCAACTGGAACGGCCAGGCAGGGGCTGACATGGCTCACCAAGGTCAGGCACACAACACTTTCTCCACAGTCACTATCACAACAGACTGAAAAAAGGACAGTGACAATCGTTTGGTTCATTTTCTCCTGTGAGATATTACCTTGCAGATCTTCTGGGCATGAGCTCCAGATAAACTGCCTCCAAAGACGGTAAAATCCTGAAGGTAAAGCAAATTTTCAAGTTAGGGAAAAAATCATTGCAGCAAAACGTGGACACCTACTGACACCAACAGAGCCCAGAGCCAACTGCTGGTGAGTTCCCCTGAGGCATTCCCACCAAGCCTTGTTCTCAAAGAACCCTAAAACTGCATGGACAGAGAACAGCACAACTACGACAGCAGGTGAACTGAAAAGGAAGGAGCATCTCAGCTGAAGGGGAGTAAAGGTCTTTATGTACAAATCTAAAAAGAGAGGGTGTATCATGAAGGGACACTTAAATTTTCTTACCACAGCACCTGCCCCCTAGCTGTGCTCGTACAAAGGAAGGCTGTGTTTGCCTCCTGTCCTACGTCCAGGCCCACACAGCCATGCCCTTCCTTGGAAGCACCACACTTCCAAGACAAAAACTAGGAAGGGTGTGTGACTTGCTCCAAGGTCACACAGCAACAGCCACTTTGGCCATGAGAGCAAACGAACAAAGGCTACTTTGTGGCCCAGAACAGGGCAGCAGTTACCAGTGGTCTGACAGAAAGCCCTTCTTTCACAGTGCTGACTAAGCAAGATAATTCCCTCCCTATGATGTTTCCTCTAAAATGTTTTTATTTTAATCTCTTTCTGTGCTATCAGAAGCCTTTCTGCTTGTTGCCTGGGGGTGCCCTGCTTCCCCCAGGGCAGTCAGGCCTGTCCTGGGCCCACAGGCCCCCAGGGGCCACTAGGAGTCGTACCTGGCTGAACACGTAGGCCAGTCTGCCGCAGATCCTGCCCCGGCCAGTCACCACGCTGTCTCCAGGGTACTGCAGAGCCAAAGGGACCCGTTAGGAACAGCAGACAGCAAGTCACAGAGCAGCGATGCCCCCAAACCCACACACACACGAAGGCAAAGCAGAGCCTGATCTGATCAGGGGACTGCACTCTGCACATTTGCTTCCCCCAGCCCTGAGAAAGAAAACAACATATCAGTTGTGCATTAAAGATCACTCAATTATGCAGTTTCTCTTCGAATTTCTAGTTTTCTAATCTGGAGTTAAAGCAGATCATGTCCTTAGAGAAGGACATACCTTTCACTAGGAGTACCTGACGGTTTTGAAAGAGTGGACACACTCTACAAACCTTTGAGGTGCTGATATAGGATAAAATATACCCTGGAAAGGTCGAAAATATAATTACAGTCACCTCAAATGCTTCAACTTGACTTGCTGCATTTTTCACCCTGTGAAGGGTGAATAAAGGAAGAAGGAAGAGTGGGAAGAAGAAATGGAGCCTGAGCCTATGTTGTCTGACTTTCTAGTAAAGGAAACATATGCAAGACATTCAAGCCAACAGCAGAAAAGGAACCTGACTGGGCTGTCCTCCGGGAATTTCAGGCATTGAAATGCTTTTTGTTCTTTAGTACTAAAAAAACCAACAGGTGTGTGGCCCAGGGCCCACTCTAAGGGCCACAGGTGCCCAGGGTGGTCTGTTCTCAGGAAGGCCACACCTGTCTGGGGGCTTTGCTCAGGCTGTCCACACAGCCCCGCTGCAGCTCCTGGCAGGGGGAACAGCAGCAAACACACCTGTACCTCCAGCCACTGTCCCACACAGGTGGCTCTTCAGAGCCCAACCAGCCTGCAGAGTGGCCTGGATGCGAGTGCAAGTCCTATCCTGTCCCCAGAAAGTTCCAGGAACTCAGAGAAATTCAATGCTAACCAAATATTCCAGCTCACTGGCCACAGCCAGGTCACCTGGTGTGAGCTCACTGAAAGGTGAATACTGAAGGAAAAAATTAATCGTCCTGTCACACTCAGGACTCTGCTGCTCCTCCCATTTTCAGAAGCAGCAATTTTTTATGAGCACTGTAGGATGCAGTGTGCAGTAGCATGATAAGAGTTTGAAAGTTTCCTTGAATTTGCTGGGGGAACAGAGTTAAAATTACCTGGAGAAAGCATTTGCTCCTACATCCAGGAGCTGGGAGGAGGTCTAACGTGACATCCTTCCAGCACCAAGTGCCATCAGTGTCCTGGCTACTAAACCCAACAAACCCTTTGCTGCTCTCTCCCTCATTCACAGGCACCCTGGGGAGTGGAACCCAGTGAACTGGTTTGGTAACTGCACCGACAGAAGTTGCAGTCACTGTGTGCTGCATGGAGGAGTGGCACACATGGAGCAGCTTCTCACCACACCAACACAGCCACAGGCTACAGGGAGATTCTCTCTGCAGGCACAGCTGCACGAGCCCCTGACACGTCCCAGCAGTTCCTTTCTTACCAAATCACAGCAAAACACTTTTCCCAGGCAGTCAATATCAGGTTTCAACATTACAGTGAGAGACTCTGGGCAGCCATGGATTTTCCCTCTGTATGAGGAGCCCCACGTACCATGCTGGTTTAGGATCCACGGCCACATCCATGCAAAATGCCAAACAAGCAGGGGCAACTGGCTAAGGGAGCAGTATGGATGCTTGGACTTCAAACACGTTGGACTGTAAGGCCCTCAAGGATTCTATGACTCTAGCATGAATATGGACCTGAATTATTCCATCCCCTAATGCTACCTGTGGGGAGGCAGAAGTATCTACCTGGATTTGTTCTTCGCAGCTGATTTGACTGACAAAGTTGCACAACAAAGCTCTGCAGCCTCCTCTACTGTTTAAAATACAAACCTAAGGCAATACATGTACAAAAAGGTATTTAAACCAAACAGATGACCTTAGAAAAGGTATCAAGTTCAGCCAATGGAAAAGTAAACTGTGTAAGCTGTTAAATGGAAACAGAGCAATTAGAGCAAATCTGCCAAACAAAATTATAAACAAATAGAAAACAAAATAAATAAAGGAAATCATATGTGAGCAGAAGAGCCCGTTTCCAACCAGTGAGCTGGCTGGTCCTCCACACAGCACAGAACACTGACACAAGAGTTACATGACATAAACTTACCTTATTCTTACTAGAGTCCATCCCGAAGTCAGAGCATCTGTGCTCCACAAACATGTCATATTCATCAAAGCTGTCAGGGTCCAAGAGCAGCAGAATTCTCTCCCTTGCTGTCAGCTTTCCCTGGAACAGAGCAGGCCACAATGAACAGAGCCATCAGGTGGTTCTGGCTCCTTGCTGACCCCCAGCAGAGGCAGCATAACCAAACAGAGCCTCACTTGATCTGCTGCATTGGGCCCACCAAGCCACTGCAGGCCCCAGAGCCAGAAAGAACCTGTATGGTGACCATCCTCCTCAAAACACACATCATGCACGCCAGGCTCTGAAAAGACTCTTGGAGCAGCACTAGCACAGGGGAAAGGAAACAATCTGTCTTCTGAACAAGATATGAAAGCATCACAGCTATTTTTGCCTACACATTTAAATGCTGCTATTGAGGCCTTTGTTCTATTCTTAACCAAGAAGCACTTCCACAGCTAACCCAGTCCTTCCCAGCAGCTCAGGGCTCCATGCTCCACATCTGACTGCAGAGCAAACAGGAAACGTGACAGCCTGCAGGGATCTTCTGACAAAACCCTCTTGTTCTCTTCTCTGTTGGACACTGGTATGGGCAAAAGCAGTGTAAGGGCCAAGAATACAATCCCCGACCAGACAGGCATGGCCCTTGCTCAGTGCCATGCAGTAATCAATGACTGCAAAGCTCTTTGTATCTTCACCTTCCAAGCAAATTTGTGATTTCCAGCCTAGGTAAATGTCTGCTAAAGGGCAGGGCCCCTGGGTTGTCTTCAAGGGGTGGTGTGACCCTGCATCAAGAGGACATTAAAACACAGCTCAGTTTCTCTACAAAACATCTCACCAGTAGGCCAAAATGTTCAAGAAAACCAGCAAATGCAGGAAAGGCTAACACTAGCCACAGATTTAATGCACATGAAACATAAGCTGTTTGAGACTCACAGACCTGCATAGTGGTGTGCCAGGGTCCTGAATGTAACTCAGGGAGCCTGAACTCTCTTCAGGGGTTGTGTAACTGTGGAGGGAAACTGCTGACAGACTGATCACAGATGTAGCCTTCACCTGCCTGGCCATTCCTACCTCCTGGATGGGCCTTCCACTGAACTGAAGACATCCCAGCAAGACACAATAAACAGAAACAGGAAACCTGTTGTCACCCCTAGCAGCACTGCCTACATGCTGAACAACAGAGGCAGGAGACTAAAACCCCTGCTGTATCATCTCTCAATCTGTCTTTTCCTCTGCCTTATTTCCACTCCTCTGGCTCTTTGCTCTTATCTCTCAGATCGGCTCAGATTTGCAACAGCAGCATAAAGATGAAGCTGTGTTGGATGATGCGATTCCAAACCCTGGAATCGTATTCCAAATTCCTGGGAATTCCAAACGCACGGACCTAGAACTTCCCATCACATGTCAGTTGTGTCCACAGAACCCCTCACACACACACACGTTATAGAAACCTCGGCGGCCAACCCGAGGCAAAGGGATCGCTGAGGGAATTGTGCTTTTCTCCGCCCGGAGTGCTCTCCCCGCACG